AGAGGAAGAGAGAGAGAGAGAGAGAGAGAAAGAGAGAGAGAGATGAGAGAGAGAGAGAGAGAGAGAGAGAGAGAGAGAGGGGGGAAACTAGAGTAAAGATCATATCTAGATAGATAAGAGTAGATAAGATAAATAGATAGATAGATATGAATAGATAGATAGATAAATAGATAGATAGATAGATAGATAGATAGAAAAGACGAAGAAATGAGTGAACAAGAGAGCGAGAAAGAGAAGCGCTGGAGGGGGGAAGGGATATCTAGAAGCTAAAGCCAGCAGCACATACTAGACAATAATAACGACGCATGCAATGATGTCCCATGATCCAACACCACCTCCAAGCCGGCTCCCCTCCCACCCCCTGACCTTGCCTTCTCCTGACCTTACCCTCCCGCAAACCACCCCTGATGAACCTCCCTGCCTCTTGACCTTAACGCCTCTCCCCAAACGCCCCTACCCTCCTCCTCCTGACCTTACCCTCCCCCGAACCACCCTGAAGCTCCTTCTCCTGACACTTACCCTCCCCTCAACCCCCTGAACCGTCCTCGCTTCTTGACCTTACCTGCCCCAACCGCCCTACCCTCTTGCCTCCTGACCGTTACCTCGGCCCACCACCTGAAACCTCCTGCTCCTGACTTTACCCTCCCAACACCGCCTTCTACCTTTACCTATATATCCACCTCCACCTCTCTTTCTCTACCTTTACCTATACATCCACCTCCACCTCTCTTTCTCTACCTTCACCGATGCGTATATCTCTACCTCTGACTCTCTGATTCTACCTATGGCCCTACCTCCATCTCTCTTTCTCTACCTTTACCTATACCTCCACCTCTCTTTCTATACCTTCACCGATGCGTATATCTCTACCTCTGACTCTCTGATTCTACCTATGGCCCTACCTCCATCTCTCTTTCTCTACCTTTACCTATACCTCCACCTCTCTTTCTATACCTTCACCGATGCGTATATCTTTACCTCTGACTCTCTGATTCTACCTATGGCCCTACCTCCATCTCTCTTTCTCTACCTTTACCTATACCTCCACCTCTCTTTCTATACCTTCACCGATGCGTATATCTTTACCTCTGTCTCTCTGCCTCTATCTATACATATAGCTCCACCTCTCTGCTTCTACCTATCCATTTCACAATGCTCTGTCCCACCATTAGACTGTCATTACCACTAGCATGGTTCCTGTGCCCTCCCCCTAGAATGCTCTGCACTGGTCGGAGTGGGGGCCAGTCTAAGGAATGCAACCCAGACCACTCCCAGCCATGCCTGAATGTTATACTATATGTTTTTAAATTGACTACGTCACGAATTTTCTATGGCGTATATTTGTGAAATTTTTATTGCAATTTTTCACATTAAACGTAAGTACTATTCGAATCTAAATGCATCCTCAAATTCTTACCTGATAAGGTTGTTTCTCAACTAGTAAAAAATCTAAAAAAACCTGGGCGATTTGATTGGTCATGACATTAATTGCTTGCTATGGGCTATGTATGAGTATTTGTTCACATTGAACAGAAAGCAAAATATGAAGTATAATGCAGCAATTTAACCATAAAAAGTGAACAGAATCACTTACATTTTGTAAACAAAAGTGGACATCATTTTTTTTACTTTTACTAATTACAGTGACGTAATCACTTCAACAGTACGATATATAGCTGAATCTATGAGTGTCCCGTACTAATGAGTATCTCAGAATCTATAAGTATAATACATCAAGCGAAACATCGTACTAATTTGTCTCATCGTTGAACTATATTTTACCGAGTGCGAAATTAGGATAATGAACTGCACGTTAAATTAATCATCGTCTCGAATGCACGTCGAGCGAAACATAAAAAGCATGATATCTGAAATTACATGATGATAAACTCGTTGTTATCGTTAAACTTCACGTTTTACCTCATATTTCACTGAACGTAAAATTCGAACCGTGTCCCGCACTTTAAATGAATTATCTATCATGTAAAATTCTGACGACTTTAAATTGAAATATCGTTCCAAATATTATCGAAGTAGACATAAGATCTGATATCAAACCCGATATTAACACTGAGATTAATCCGATCATCGATACTGCAGCTATTTCTCTCTCTCTCTCTCTCTCTCTCTCTCTCTCTCTCTCTCTCTCTCTCTCTCTCTCT